TTTTCTTCTGAAGCAAGAACTATTCCTTCTTTTCGAGAACGCTGTGTTCTTCCTAATTGTAAATGTTACAAATTTGATCGTGCATAATATTGTATATTGTGGATGATACGCAGGTCAGTTTAATGAGACATGGTAAATTGTTAGCTGAATCGGCGCCGCAGAAATTACTGGAGAAATTTCAATCCTCGTCATTGGATGAAATTTTCTTGAAATTGTGCGAGGCACAGAATAATGCAGTCACTTTAACTGAAGATCAGGAATCCAATATGGAAGACACTGGTGGCGATGCCTTCAATCACGATCGAAACAAATATGAACAACTACAAGTATGTACGATTTTTATTGTTATAAAAAGCTTTGCAAATCTATATCATTTTAAGACACTAATAAGTCAAATTATTAAGGGAAACAAAACGGTTTCGAAAAGACAAGTTTCACGATTAAGAAGGTTCAAAGCTCTATTTGTGAAGAACAGCCTCCAATTTACCCGTGATTACTTGTAAGTATTCATCATAACTTATCAATAATGCAGAAGGGACGCTCTTGTCAACAAAACAAAATTGAAAATTGTTTCAAATTCGAATGTTGCCTTTTCGAATGTTTCCTTCAATATACTTGTGTAGTACTAAATTGTCATTGTATAACGAGCTAGAGGTTATATTTTAATATTTTTAGTTTTTACCAATTGCAAATTTCATAAAACTAATAAAAATTCTTTCAGAGCAATAACTCTTTCGGTATTACTACCGATATTACTATGGGCTTCAGTACTTTTGGCAATTGATGATCCAAAGAACTTGAATATCGGGATTGTTAACGATGAAGCTGGCAATTGCGACAGCAGCAACTTTGGCAATATTTGGAATGATGAAATCGGCTGCCACTTCAGCAACCTCAGTTGTAGATTCCTGAACAATTTGGACGACTCCATTGTGACACAGGTGTAAAAATTTAAAAATTAATCATGTAACGTAGTTATTTAATGATGTTGTACATACAATATATTAAAGTAGGATCAAATAAGCTTGCAAAATGCCTACTCAGTGCGTATGTGGACGCTCTTTATTGCTCTTACCACAAATGCAAGACGAACAAATTTATGTTTCAATCACAAGAGCTCACTCTAACGTTTTGCACGGGTAGGCTTTCCACTAACGGCTCCACTCGGCTAACGCACTGTTGCCGAGAGTAAATACAGAACAAAGCACACTCGAAAGTCCTAGGACTAGAAATATCAATATACGAAAGACACGACACATAAATATAATGTAGCGTGCACGGATGTCTTTAATGTATATGGTTAAAATGGCACTATCTGTATTCTCGGTATCCATTTGTCTGTCACCTATTTATTCCGATACACATTGGAAAAATTTTATTCAATATAAATTAATGGAAACCGATTAATTATCATTAACACGTTTATTGATGATTCTCATTAATTATATTGTGTTTTCAGAAGTACTATAACAATATTTCAGAGGCGAAATATAATATTCAAAGAGGAGAACTTCGTGGTATAATATATTTTCATCATAATTTTTCTGAAGCTTTAAAAATACGAGTGGAACATGTTACTTTCGCGAAGGATTCCGATCTTCTTGCTAGTCAGATTCAAGTTTTCCGTGATATGAGCGGTACGCTATATATGTTGTACAGAGCATTCCACGAATAGTTAAAGAAATTTTATTAATTTGTATATGTATATGTATGTATACACAACACTCGCGCGCGCGCACGTAGACAAGTATCCTAAAATAGAAAGTTTTATTAATTAAAAAACTACACAAAAAGGAATTCAAGAGCTTAGATTAAGACGATTGTACATCCTAAATATTTTGACGTAAACGACATGTAAAATAATTAATTTGTTATAAATATTTAAATTTACAATGTCTTTTGTCACAGAAGCACCAATTGGAGGTCTTCTACAGAAGAAGCTATATGAATGGTTTTTAGAGGTTATTGAGGCTATTATGAGGGACTGCAAATATATACCAAGATTAGCCACTCCGCTGATTCGAGTTAATATATTTTATAATCTTCAATTTTATAAGTAAATCTCTCTCTCTTTCTTTCTCTCTCTCTCTCTCGCGTAATACTACGAGAAAAAATTCAATTTTCTATCCTTTTCAGTTTGAAGATCCTATATATGGTACTACTGATTTAAAGTATATAGACTTCGTGATACCATCAGCTCTATCAGTGTAAGAAAAAGTCATGCCAACATAATAAAAATAAACTTAATCTACTAAACTACTTATAGTATTGTAATATGTTTTTGCAGAGTAGCCTTCATTTTGGGCAGTACAGTCTCTTCCTTCTTGATAATCACAGATCGAGTGGAGGGTGTCTGGAATCGAAGCTTAGTCCAAGGTATTAATTTTTTAATGACACTACGAAATAGACTTTACGAATATTTCTTTGCCTTTGTATATTTTATGACATTAATGTGAACATATTGTAAATATACGTGATAGGGGCTAAAGCAAAAGAAATTCTGCTGTCTCACATTGTTGTTGAGAGTATCATCACAATTATCCAGTCCATTATAGTAATTCTCATAGTCTTCCCTATATGGGGTTTGGAATGTAAAGGATCGATATTGGTTATAATCTTCCTTCTCTTTCTCACCACGTTTTGTGGAATGATGTGTGGTGAGTACTCCACTCTGTATATCAAAAAGCGTACAGCAGCAATTCGGAATCTAATGAAAATTTCCTTGATTGTTTGTGTTAATGCATTTGCAGGTTTTGTCATATCTACCTTTTGCACAACTGTTTTGTCGGCCGTATTCTTGCCAATCGGAAATTTCTTAATAACAATACTAATTACTGGTGAGGCTTTACTCTATCTGTTTCTCGGAAATTACCTCTCACTTTAATTAGTTATTAAATTAATTTTAAATTTAGTTTTTTATTACGTAATGATATATAAACAGTATACCTAGTCTACAGTAATATATAAAACGTTTAAATAAAAAATATCAAAATTAACATGACCAATATACAGCGGATAATTATCTTCTTACGTTAATCGAATTTTTATTAATATACAAATTTGACAAAATTATAGGATGTTATTGGCCAACAGAGGGAATGCCGACATGGCTTGACTGGATTAGCTACATATGGCCAACTACATTGCCCTCCCAATCTTTCAGGGGAATCATTTACAAAAATTCTTCCATTTCTGATTCGGAAGTTTATATTGGTTTTATAACAACATTAGGGTGGACAGTGCTGTTCTTTGTCGTAACTATATTTGGTATGAAATTGAAATCGTAGGTTATTAGAGGTTTTTGTCTACATTATATAAATTATACAGTCTTGCATTGTCTACAAACTGCAGTAGATAAATGTGCAGAGCGAGCCTTTAAAAGTCTTATTGATTTATGTGTTTAAGGAAATATATAATTATTCGTATTGTTGCCAGTATATAATTAGCAAATGTAGAGATCATTATCCCAGGCAGAACATCATGTCGATTCGACGTCCAACAGACGTCTGTTAGACATCTATTAGACATCCCCGACATCTATTAGACATCTAATCGACATCAACGTTCTGGCTGGGATTAGACGACCCAAGTGGCAAACAGCGTGAAATATTTATTTCATAGGTTACATCCAACATTTTTACCATCCGGATTGTAGTCAGACGTGCTTTGTAACACGAATCTTGGTGACAGGTGCCTTAACGCGCGCGCGCGAAATACATGTGTTTAATTTTATAGTTAAATTTTGTTTGATACGTCCTGACTTCTGGTATTTTAAATCCTTGAAAATGAACGCAATCCGGTGATCGAAACGTTGGATGTAAGCTATTAAAGAAATAATTTACACCATCTGCCACTTGGGTAGTTGGTCGTCTAATAATCCTCTCCCCTAAACTTTATAATTATTTTCTCCGTTTAAATAGGTGTGTGAGATATTGTTTGCTTCAAACGAATAAAAATTCATGAACTGAATTTCCATTTATTTAATTTAAATTAAAATTTTTTCCATTTGACATCAATATCTATGTTATTTTCTCTTACCACCCTCCTTAAACAAAAGGTATTTAATTGTTTCATCTTTAAGTTTTATTATGTCAATCTGTTGGTTTACTACATGTATGTATGTACATATATCTGGCTTTTCTTTTTGGGACTTATTGTATTTGTAGACATTTTCGAAAACTGTGATGCCTTCCTTTAGTAGTCGTGACATCTTCCCATCACTAATGGATTTATTATGATCCCTTCTTTCGTTCCCACTTTCATTGATTTCATGTTCCACGACTTTTCTGGGTTCCGTCTTTGTGAAGGATAATCTTGAAAAGTCTTGAAAGAATGACTGTGTGTAGGACATATCATTTAGTGATTTAAAGTATGTAGACTTCGTGATACCAACATTCCTGCCATCGTAAGCAAAAATGAAGACAATATAATAAATAAACCCACTTTACTAGACATACTTATAGTTTCATTATATATTTATGCAGATTTATTTTCTTTATGAGCAACACAGTCTCTTGTTTCTTGATAGTCACAGAACGATTGGAGGGTGTCTGGAATCGCAGCATAGTCCAAGGTATTAATTTTTTAATTAATCTCCGAAATCGACTTTACGGTTATTTCTTCACCTTTGTGTATTTTATCATCCCAAGGAAAAATGAAAACACTAGATAACGTTAATTTCGTGTTATATTGACCAAATATGACATAAATTTGGTCAATATTGCATCAAATTAACATCATCTTGACTTTTTATTTTCCTTGGGATATTAATGTGAATATAAATACGTGATAGGGGTCAAAACAGAAGAAATTCTGCTGTCTCACATTGTTGTTGAGAGCATCATCCTAGTTATTCAAACCATTACGGTAATACTCATAGTCTTCCCCATATGGGGATTGGAATGTAGAGGATCAATATTCACTGTTTTCGTCCTTGTATTTCTCAACGGGTTTTGTGGATTGTGTTATGGTGAGTACTCCACTTTGTATATAAAAAAAACATACAACAACAATTCAGAAAATGATAGTAATTAAACTTATTGTTTGTGTTAATGCATTTGCAAGTTTTATTATATCTACCTTTTGCACAACTCTCGTTTCGGCGTTAATCTGTTCAACTGGAAGTTTTTTGCCGATGATAGCAACGAATGGTGAGATTTTAATCTTTCTGTTTCTCGGAAATTATACTTTATACTTGAATTTGTTTACTAAATTAATTCTAAATTAAAGTTCTTTATTACGTAACGATATAAACAGTTCGCCTAGTCTATAGTAATATAAAATTTTTACAATAAGAAAATGTCAAAATTAACATCAACAATATACAGCGGCGATTTATCTTATTGCGTGAATAAAATTTTTATTAATATACTAATTTAACAAAATTTTGTAAAATCTTTTTGGTCGTTAAAGGCCGATATTTTGCAGTGTACTTTTATTAAATTGATTATTTTAAAATTTAAATGATTTTATCATGTAACGATATTATATTGTTAATATAAATATAAAAATATAGAAAATATTTGTTAAACTTAACGTCAACAGTATAAAGCTGAGTATCTTACGTTTAAAAAATGTTTATTTTATTAATACATTAATGTGACGAAATCATAGGAAGTTTATGGCCATTGGCGGGAATGCCGACAGTGCTTCGCTGGATTAGCTTCCTCGTGCCAACTACATTGCCCTCCCAATCTTTGAGGGGAATCATTTACAAAAATTCTTCCATTTCTGATTATGAAGTTTATATTGGTTTTATAACAACATTAGGATGGACAGTGCTGATCTTTGTCGTAACTATATTTGGTATAAGATTGAAATCACCGTAATATTATCAAAAAACGTAAAATAAAGTTTTTATCTACATGGTAAAAAAACAGCCTTGCATTGTCTATAATACAGAGTACAGTAGACAAATACATGCAGAGTGCGCCTTTAGAAGTTTTACTGAATTATATGTTCAAGGAAATATATAATCATTTGTATTGTCGGTAGTTTATATTTAACACATGTAAAAAGGATTATTATAGACGACCCAAGTGGCAAATGGTGTGAATTATTTATTTCATTGGTTACATTCAACGTTTTGACCATCTAGATCTAGATTGTAGTCAGACGTGCTTTGTAACCTGAATCTTGGTAACCGATTCTTAGCGACATACATGTGTTTAATTTTATAGTTCGACTTTGTTAAATATGGCTTGACTTCTTATATATTAAATCCTTGAAAATGGCCACAATCCGGATGGTCGAAACGTTGGATGTAACCTATTAAATAAATAATTCACACCATCTGCCACTTGAGCAGTTAGGTCGTCTAATAATCCTCTCCTACATTTTATAATTATATTCTCCATTTAAATAGTGGTATGAGATATCTGCTTCAAACAGATCAAATTTCATGAACTGAATTTCCATTTTTTTATTTAAATTAAAATTTGTCCCACTTAAGATCAATATCTATGTTACTTTCTTTTATAGCACAGGAGTAATGTTAAAGTAATTAATTACTTCTGTGCTACGACAACATTAAATGTTTTTAGAAAATTAAGGAATATTTATTTCAGACTAAAAAAGACCTCGATACTAGAATTAGATGTACATTTAACTTTAATAAGTTAATTAAATTTTGTTAATAATTGTGTCGATAGACCTAATAAAACATTGTGTTGTTCGAAAAATAAAAGGTTAAATAAAGTCGATTTTAACACCACACACGCACGCGCACACACACGCGCTCACGCACACGTGTTAAAATCGACTTTATTTTAATTTATTATATATACAATATATGTATATTAAATTAAAAAATATATATATGTATATTAAGTGACATTATATTATTACATAATATTATAGCAATTGATTCAAAAAGAGGGAAACCAGGAAAGGGGAGATGAATGAGGAGGAAACTAACTAAAGACACATGCATGTTGTTAAATTTGTTTCTCCGTTGACAACATAGTAATTTTACATGTATAAATATACACAGTTTCCTATATACAAACATCTGCTGTATACACTTCACTATACTTGTTTCGCACACTTGTAATTATATTACTTACGATAATCGTATTATTATATAATATAATTATATATGATAACACAATCGTGATGCATAATTTTGACGAATATTATCGCAAGAATATAAATATAATAATTATAATGAATTTTTACATCACAAATTTGTTATCATAATTGAGCTACACAGTTACAATACACAATTTTGTTAATTTTACAACTTTTATAGTTACATCATATTTTTGATTATGATACAGAATTACAGCAATACATGATTAATGTTTAATTAGTTATTATTAATAACCGATTATTAATAACTATTTTTTGTTATTTGTAATCCCTTTTACATGTTCTGCCGTTTCTTTTTTTATCATTAAATCTGTTTAAAATTTCGACCATTTTTATTTTGAAAAGCTCGTGTTTAGAGATCTAGAAAGAAATAGGCGATTAGCCTAATAGCCATATTAATAACTATTAAATTTATTACTTCTCTAACATCTTGTGTTCAGCAATCTATAAAAAATAGATAACCAGTCTATATGTATAATAGAATAATAATTTATATTTAATGGAATAATACTTTGATGAGTGGTAAATCTCTTTTATTCTGAGAAGCAGAATATTCACATATTTATAAAAATAGTTAATTTACTAGCGAAACTAAATGTAAGTATGATCATGGTATGGATTCTGCATGTTCTGGCAACTTTCAGCGCTCTCGTTGTTGTTGTTGTTGTTGTTGCTACTGTTGTTACTAGCAGCCATGCTAGTGTCCTGATTAAAATCATTAGTAACTCGATTAGAGTTTATTGCAGAAAGAAGCAGCCGCGGGCCACAGGATCGGATTGGACGAGTAGCAACGAGACAGTCAACTATCTGTCTTATAGTAGGCATGCAGGTTTTGCTGTATCCTGGAAAACACACATCACATGCTCCATCAGAACTGAAAAAATGCATACTCGACTGCCGTCACGTCGTCTTGGGTTTTAAGCTTTAAATTCAAGATATCATTATTTATAATCGATATTCGAAATTTAGCCCAAGAGATCGGATAAAAAATTCAGAATAAAGTTTTTTTTTATTACTTTTGCAACAAGACATTCGACTTGAAAATTAGAAATTAATATTACGCAAAACAATTTCTCAATTCTGGCATTAATAGTCGCGAATAACTTGGAAAATTGCAGAACATGACAACATTTCATAACACCGAGAACGGAAACTTTTGAAACATTTTATATGCATGCAACCCAAAATGACGGATTGTACATCTAGTTGTTATAATAAATACGCACAAACAATCATCTAAACTCAGATGTAGTAAGTACGTAGGAAAAACGAACAGGATTGAAGTTATATCGCATGCATTTTTAAATCGTGAGCAAAGGGGCAAACGCAGAGGTAAGTATGACGGACAGGGAGAAGTCATAAAGTTACAATCTACAAAAGAGATGATGAAATTTAAGCACTAAAATAATAGAAAGTTAATCTCTTTTAATTGTCGTTAAACTGGCATAGCTAACAATGAACTTTAACATAATCGTGTGATGTATGAAAACTCATTGTCCTATTATAGTCTTCTTTTGATATTTTTGACAATAATAAAAATAAGAAAAGACCTGAAAAAAAAGTCGGGTAAACTTATTGCTGACGACTTCGTTTTACTTGAATCCCTAAGCATTCCTAATAAGCGGTAATCGAAATGAGATCTGGCTCAAAGAGGGTACAATAGGTCCAAACAGATATTCATTGTAGATAGCTTCACCTTAGCTCTTACTTGAATCTGTCCCTTCAAAGGTGTTCTCGTTGCGAGAATCGAAATCAGGGTCCGAAAGGGATTAAAGGTATTCCTCATCGGTGATTCCGCTTTAACATTTAAAGGCATTCTTGGTGTGCTAATTAAAATGGGGATTGTTTATCATTAGATTCGTTGAACGTATTTCTTAAGCGATAAAGATGCGTAATAACACATGCAGTAACCCAGTGAGAAATGATTCGTCGATCGACGTCGAAATGATGTCGAATCGATGTCAATTCGACGGTGTCGATGTTGATTCGATGTCGTTTCGACGTCGATCGACGAATCATTTCTCACTGGGAAAGGGAAACAGACCTTAAATGGGTTTTCCACAGAGTCATCGAATACAAATTAATAAATATTCTAAATATCTACTTGTTGTTAATGTAATCGGGTTTAAAAAGAGTTACAAAACATCGTTCAACATCAAGCGAGTCATGGAGAAGGCGAAGGGGGGGGGGGGGCAATAGCGCTGCGATACTGTATACAAAGTTAAAAAGAATTTGCTACATACACTCCCGAACGTACGCGAAATACTTCTTCGTTACAGGTTTGTAATAATACTTATTGTTAGCATTCGCATGCATGAATAAACATACAAATACGAATAAAAAATTAAAAATGCATAGGAGCACTTATTAACAATTATGGCATAATGTAAATTTTGTTGCAATTCTTTTGGCACATCTCGCTACTTTTCACATAAGATGTCCCGAAGAAACGTAGAAATCGGTACTGTGGTATCTTGTCGAGTTTATAATTCATTTCTCGACAAAAATGTCGACGTTATACGACGTGAAATATCTTCTTAACTTTCAGTATTATCAATAACAATTAAATTAAGATTGGCAATATCACGCTCATTAAGTAAATATGTCTCGAAATTTGGATCAGTGATCAAATTCTACGCCTGGCAGAACTACGTGAAAACATATGAAAGAACGTATCTGGAACAGTTTGCCTGAGAGACAGAAACAATATGTTGAAAGAAAAATGATTTGTTCACATTTTTCGGGGCGCTCTCTATAAATCCAGAGAGAAGCGTTATCCTTAAATCGATGTATCGCTTTGTCACTTACAGCTAATAATTATTCTGCGTAATATTGACTGTAATATTACTAATTGTAAGATTGTCTTGTCGTGTCATATGCAACTCTTGCGTAAATCATCCAACAATTTCCCGATCGTCTGTCGGGAATAACAATTTCTTCCGTTGGTCCATCCTATCGATAACGAGCTATAGATTTAAAGTATTTGATAATAATAACAGAACTATCACAATAATTATGTATAATAATACTGTAACGGCGCAGGTGTTTATGTAAAGCCAAGAGATACCGACGCAATAGCAAAATTACGCTTCGCCTATAATCTTTAATAGTTAATGTGACATTTATCTTTTTGTTAAATTAATTATTAAATATACATTATATATTAAGTAACTGTAAAATCTTTCTTGTTAATTGTCAATTAAGTAGCAATATATCAATCAGTTAATCAATTAACATTTGTTTCGCAGTTTTGCATAATGTGTGACACAAATGCGTTCGTTAATTATATTTAAACAATTATACAGGGTGTTTTAGAATTACATATATAAATTTAATTATTTAGTAGAATTCATAAAAAAAGATCTTAATAATTTTATGAATTCTATTATTAATTCTATATCCCTTATAATAAATTTAAATATAATTACATATTACCTCGTTATAAAAGATTTATCGGCTTTTATCGAAGTAGTTATATGTCCGCGGAAATACTTGTATCCAAAAACCGATGAAGCTTTCGTAACAATTAAATCCATCTTTCAATATATTTTTAAATTTCTATATCACGCACGTGTCGTAAATATTTCGAATTCTAAGCCACTACAGAAAAATTTCGTACATTCTTCTCGATTACTTACTTATTCGATTTACATAAAATCCAGAAAGGAATTCTCTTCTTTCTATAAAGATTTTCCTCACATATACATATATATTATTCAGTGCGAGACATTTCTCTTCACATATATTGTATTTCATGTAATTTCTAACGTCTCATATGCATAAAATACTTCCCAGTGCTTTTTTTTATGTAATCAAATCACGAATTCTCAGCTAATTCTGATTATAAGGCAGTCTCCTTCTCGCTGATAATCTTGATTCCATGCTGCGTGAGAATCATTTTTACTTCCTCTTTGTCTCGGATGTTTAATTTCTGGGTTGAGTCTTCAGTTTCATTGTCCTTTCCCAAATTTTGCGCTTGCAATTTCAAATTGTCGGTAGACTTATTCAGGCGGTCCACATCAGCGGCCGATCTCTGCAGGGATTTTGATCTTCTCGAATCTCCCGATATCTGTAGATTATCAGCGGATCCAATCAGCGTTGTATTTTTCACGACCTTGAGCACCTTATCACTCGCTTTCGAGGATATCTTTGCCAGTTGGAGACTATCCACCGAAGAGTACCGTCTCTTATCTCGTGCACTTCCACTGGAATCCTCCTTTTTTCTAAATAAGGAGCCTTTGCGGTTGACCTTCTTGGCCCCGCTCGTCAAAATCGCAATTTCGTCCTTGGGTATGAAATACAACTCCCGCGGCTGGTCCCTGGCCATCGGAGAGCCGTGGATGAACAAGGGCTGCGATTTCGATCTTCCGGGATCCTTGATTCTCTCTTTGTCGAAAATCCTGCTTCGATCGTCAGCCGATTTCGTACCGCTCTGAAAACCGCAGTTTTCAATCTCAAAGCTGTCGTCGTCGTCTTGATGCGGTTCTACCATTTTATAAGTATATCTATCCGCCGGTAACGCGGAGTCCGGATCGAAACTGCCATCCACCTCGCCACAGATTTTGCAGAGCTCGCAGGGAATTTCCTGAATCTTGCCTTCAAGATCGTCAGCGGACTCCTGAAGATTAAGCGAGCCGCAAATGTCGCACTCAATGGAATCGTCGTCATCGTCAGCCAGCGAGCTACAAGTCGATCTGAGTGTGTAGAATGTCTCCTGGTTCGGGCTGCTCACTTCCTCCTCTGTTCGGAAGGTAATTTCGTTCATGTAACAACAGATCGAGCAGAACTCATCTGGAATATCGAGTTGCGAGCCACTACTATTCGCCTTTGTCGGCGGCACGCCTAGAAACACCTCCTGGATACGCTTGATCGACTCGTAGCTCTTCGACTTCTTCGAGAACGTGTCATCCTTCTTCGGCTTCTGCGTAGATATTTCATCTGACACAATCATTGAATCCAAACTACCCTGAAGAGGTACGTTATAACGTCGCACCTTCCTTGTATACACGTCCTTAATTTCATTAAAGTCGCACTTCGTTTTGTTATCAGTGTTTTTTGCCGTTTTTATTGCTTCTTGTGCTTGTTGTGCTTTGTTATCACTCATTTTCACAGCCTTCTGAGTTTGAGTCTTTTTCGGGCTCTTCGTGGAAGACGTTCTCGAGGAATGCTGAGAGAATTCTTCAGTTCGCGACGTCTCTCGATTATCAGTAAGTTGAGTTTGTTTCTTCAATTCGATGTAACTCTCGGAATCTTTTCTGGGACTTTCCATTTTCGCTGAAGACTTCTTCGAAGAATCCAGAAAGACTTCCTCCAGTTGAGAAATAACACGATCGTTGATAGCTCGATCATATTCTTTCATATCTTCGCTTCTATAAAATACTTGGCTTTTCTTTTTAGGACTTTTTGCATTTGTAGATACTTTCGAAGATTTTTGGGATCCCTGTCTAGATCGAGACATCTCTCGATCACTAGTGGCTTTATCATGATCCTTTAGTTCGCGTCCATCGAATTGAAACTCCTCGACTTTTCTGAGACTCCTCGTTTTTGCGGAGGATGATCTTGAAAAGCCTCTTTCTGCACGAGACATCTCTCGGTCCTTGACAATTTTACCTTTCTCCTCGATATCTTTCTTATCTACATCGTAAATCTGTTCTTCTTGGACTCTTTCGGAGTTCTTCAGCTTCATGGAAGAACTTTGGGATGCTTCATATTGGAGCACCTGTGGATCGTCGGTAAATCGATGTTGCTCCTTGACCTCGACGTCGCGAGTCTCACCTTCTCTAACCTTCCTCGGACTTTTGCGGGAGTTCACAATCGATTTTAAATACTTGCCGTCTATCTCGAGACTCGAATCGCAAGATGTCGCCCGTTTTTCCGAAGAATATGTACCCAACTCTGAATCTTTCTCCGTTCTGCTCGTCTTGTCAGCCTCTCGCGACATCCTAAATATTTCTTTTGCTCGTTCTCCAACTTCAAAGTAATTACTCTTCTCTACTTCTGCCACCGATACTGATTCTTCCACGATATACCTCAATTGATCCGCTTCTTCGGAAGACTTTGCGCGATTATCGATTTCTTCAGTCGTGAAAGATTTCTCTTTCTGGCTTTTAGGAATCGTCGCATCGATCAGTACTTGATCATTGTATGATTGAGTGTCGCTCTTTCTGACGCTAGTCTCACGATCATTTTCAGAATCGGCTACGTTATCTGTCACATCTTCTATTTGACCGTCAGCGTATTTCGTTAAATTCAATCTGGCAGTATATACGGGTTTCTTTGTTTCTTCTTCATCCTCGTCGGAACCGTATTGGCTAAGGCGATAGTCTTCCTTGTCTACGCTGAAATCGGAAAGAGCACACTCGTGGCGACCGTCCAGTGACGTCATTGACACGTTTAGCGACGAAGTTATCGCCTTGGCGTCTAGATATTTAGTTCTATCCGATTCGAAATCGACTGTCTCTTTGCTGGCACCGATTCCCACGTCGATTTCTTTTGCACTAAGTTCAGTTAGTTCTGCATCGTCTTTACCTACCTTACCTAGCTGTGAATTTTCCTTGGATTTATTTTTATCCTCGTCAAGCTTAATTTTAAGCTCATTTGTAAGTTTTTCTATCATTAATCTACGATCGTCCTTCATAAGTATGCCATGGCTTAAATGTACAGGCTGAACTTTAACAACATCGGTAAACTCTAATTCTACGTCAACTATTTTTTTGTCGCTAACATCAACTTTCTCCTCTACGGCACTTTTTACCCTCGACCTGGGGCACCTCTCCAATCCAATTTCGCTAAAATTAGACCGGTCCGAACCTACCTCGTCATTAATCGCTTCTACCGTAAACCTACGTGTTTCTTTCAGCGCGTTCTTACCATCTAAATCTACTCCTACATCGATTATTTTCTTCTGGGGAATAGTTTTTCTATCGCGAGCTTCAACTTCATCATTCATAGAGCCTTCTCTTTTCGGCCAGCAACATTCTCCTAATCGAAGCTCACCCGAACTCGACTCACTAGGTGGAGTCTTCATCATTAATTCGCGATCGTCGTTCAAATCTAAATCTACATCAGCAATTTCCATCTTAGAACTCGAATCCAAGGCCTCTCTCTGTTCAATCTCAGCTTTATCCTTTACTGCACTTTTCATTATTGACCTAAAACATTCCTTTGGCACGAGTTCACCAGAACTTGGCTGGCCAGTTTGAACTTTCACGATTATCTCGCTCGAACCTAAATCTACGTCAACAATTTCCGCTTTAGATTTCAAACTTGAAGCTTCCCTATCCCTCGCAATGGCGTCTACCGTCAACCTACGATCCTCACTCAACACCAACTCGCTAGACGTCGAAGGTTGAATCTTTACTATTATCTCGTGATCGTCATTCGAACCTAAGTCCACGTCGATGATTTCCGTCGTGAGACTGAAATCCGAGACCTCTCTCTGTCCAGTACTAACTTTACCCGCGGCACTATCTACAGCCGTCGATCTATGACCATCTTCTGACGAAGGACCAGGCTGAGACCTCACCATCGGCTGCTCATCAAGCGCACCTACCTCGTCTACAATTCGCGCGACGCCGGTCGCGCTGGCGATGATCTGTTTCGCCTGACCGGGATACGCGGCTCGAGATACGTGCTTGACGTTGCCGTTGTCGACGTTGCTGCTGATCACGCTAACGAATTGCTCGTGAATCTCGTCGAGCCCGCCACCGCCACCACCGCCCGCAGCATTCTGCAGGTTTTTGCGTAGCACCACCGCGTCCGGCACATCGATACACGCGGTGATCTCGATCGGGCTTGGCGAGCCCATGGTTACATCGCTGGGCGACGGCGTTAGGAATGCGCTTAGGTATCGGGGATCTATGTGTAGATAATTGTTCGCATTCGGCGACGGCAGTTCCAACTTACTTCGGTGTCCAATCGGCAGCGGCAGCGGCAGCGTGAAAAACATGACGATTCTTTTATTGAACATTACATAATTTTCGCACAAATTTAGTCGCGTGGGCTCTCGTTACGTTCCCTCACACGCAGTTATTCAAATCATTGGATAACTGTACATAAAATATTTCATTTTCGAATAATTATTATACGCGAGTGTCAGAGTTTAATCCCAATTCCAATTTCACTTGTACACTTGTAGCTTTGTTTCACTCGGCATCCTTCATACAATAAATAGAATATGAGAATAAATGGGGTTGCCACAGTCCCACGCGACTAGCAAAGAGGATAATGGTGACAAAGGTGTCCTAGAAATTTGATTCACTGACGATATCATTTATTACCATTGAGATCTTTCTCCAGAATTAATCGAGCAATTTTATTACTTCACATCTTTATTGTCAACAATAAAATATTAAATCGAAATATTTATCGAAAAAATTTTTTATTATTTCTTATCAGTGAATAAAATTATTTAAAGTGTACGTTGTGCTCTTAAATCTACACTAATCGCGACACTATATGAACTCTCGGCACACACCGTAAATATTTTTGTTACCAACAAAAATTATTTTTATTGTAACAATATTTTCAATAGTATCAAGTTTAAATTTTCCGTGCCTGCTGAGAGTTGGGCGTGTATTCCTGAAGCTGCTTAAAACCTCAAAAGAATAATTTTGTGCAAAAAAACAGTGTTAAGAAAACAATAAATAAAATACGATTGCTTATAACATTTATTAAACATTAATTTAAACAAAAACTTGATATTGAATATTAAATGCACACATTTACATGTTCTTAGACTAATTACAGTAAACAGAAGGTAATTCTTTACAAAATATCATATATTTAAAATAATTAAATAGTAAACAGAAACGGTACAATAAATAATTCTTCCATTATTAACAAAGAAATATAATGACTAAGATATATTTCGCAGATTAAGATTTTGCGATGATACGGTTAAAATAAAAGTAAAAAAACATATATTTTCCTAAATATAATATTTAATCGCACGTGTTCCAGAGTTCGAACATACTTTAAAAGCAAAATCGATAACGTGTGGTTAAACATTCATGAGAAAAATACGTGTCTCTTTTATTTTCATCTATCACATATCCAGAGCTCATAAAAATTTAAGGAAGGTATTTTGGGCAAGTTTTCTTGTAAATATTGTATTCGATGGGAAGACAGGTAGGAAGACTAGATAAAGGATACCGTACATCGCATATAAATTCCATCGAAATATTACACCCCACAAAAACTGCAATGCGTTTCTTTTAAGTATCTCATCTTTGTACATACAATACACGCGAACTACATATACAATAATATGTATAAGAAGGTAAAGATTAATGTTTCTATGCACAATCGATAATTAATCAGGTTCTAATTGGTTCTAAATAAAAACCAATAATATTCTGTTAATATCAGTTAACGTCAATGATCAAGATAGTTCAAAATTAGATAACGTAATTTTCCAAGCACAGTCTTTTTATTTACTTAAAAGTTTGATGTTCACTTTTGGATATTCTTGTTGAATTTCCTCCCATATTTTTTACAAGCTTACTTCAATTTTACTACATATCTAACTTTGAATTTTCATTTTGCGTCTGCAATTGAGACCAGATTTTCATTGGACTATCAGCATTATATCATAACAAATACACCATTATAAAAATAAAATATATAATCTCCTCTATAAAATGTATAAAAATTGATAGCAATATATCTACAACGAGCCTATCATTATTAAAATATCACATTAAAAATACAACATAATCATTTAAATTTAAAAAATTTGTCTCTTTCCAAGTTTTATCTCACTGCAGCTATATTGAATTATGACACGAAAAACGAAATCGTCATTTCTACTAACTTAGCCTTCCTTCAGATTTATTTCATAATTTATAGTTTAATGATCAAGATAGATTGATATGTGTAATAATTTATAAAAGTTTGTAAAATAAGTTTTTTTGGCACATCATAATCCAAAATAATGGCTTTCGTGGGCGAATATTCGCACTGTCTCACTCGAGCAATCAAGCAACGATCAGTTTTATTACGCACAATTTAATTAACATGGTAACTATCTTTTTTTCATTATCATTGAGCTCGTGTTATTTTCTGCTTCGCTATTGTTTACCAATTCCCCTTTTGCGCCGTTCTCCGATCATGTTTGCCACATGACTGTGTACGGTGTATAAGAAAAGCATTCAAACGTGAGGTAATCGGAAAGCGACGCAAGAGGAGGATATTTTATTTGCGTGATCCAGCAGCGACCGATGCAATTTCTCGCGCAGATATACAAATCTCAAGCTTAAATCTATATGACTCCAGACACATCTTATTGCTCTCGTATCATTTTAATTCTCTACTGTTCAACTATAGCTTTCAACTTGTAAAAGCTTTCATCGTATTTATTTAAATTATGTACTATTATTATCTTATCTTTTCATTTCGCATGTTAAACATTTTGAAAAATCATCTCTAAACTTTGTATCTTCAATATGTGCAGATCTCCTATCTGTGTATCATGTAAATTACGTTTCAAACGCCCATCAAATCCATCAAATTTAAAGAATAGAGGATTAATAAGCTAATATAGACTAAACAGAAAAAAGCTCGACTGTCGTCGTTGTAAAAGAATGTGTCTAAACAGTATATTCGCAACTCACATTGTCGTGTCTGGCATTCTCGCGTCGTAGATCTCGTGCTTGTAGATGTAATCGATGAGACAATCCTGCAGCAGATATCTAACGCTCTCGCCGCGCTTCAGTGCTCGCCTGATTCTCGTCGAACTAACTTCGTTCGGGATCCATTCGGTCACGATGCAAATGTTGTTCTGAAAAATGCCAAGAAGGGAAAATTGCATTTTGCAGCAATTCGAGACTGCTTCCGAAGATCGGCTACACCGGTTAAACGATAAACAATACTTTTCTGATGACTTCAAAGATCAGGTTGTCAAGTGTAATTAAAATCGCAAATAGAATTTAATTATAAATCGCGTAGATATTTACTTAAATGTAGTTTGTTTATTTCAATTAATATTCTTGGACGTCTATTTAAAGCTAGCGCCACACTATGCGTAATTCATAATACGCGATTCGTGATTCGCAAAACTTCGTTGGAGATTCGTTATTACTTACTACATTATTTCGTGATTCAGAGTTTATCATTCGTAATTTGCTATTTGTAGTTTCGTTTGTCAACTTCGACAGCTTTAAAAATTTACCTATTATCACAGGACTTGTATTACAAGTTTACAATTCGCACGGCGAATTGACGTGAATTTTCCTCCACACTATTCACGAATATACAAATCGCGCATAGTGTGGGCGATTGTCACGATATAAAATGTTGCCATAATAACGTAATGTTCCCGTCCGGCAAACGTTGTAGATTTTCCTTCGATGTACTGAAAAAAAAACCCCCTATTGAACGAGCACATGTCGAGCAGCAAAAGTACAATTCAATAAGAAAATGGGAATTCACGAGAAAACTCGCAATATCTTATATTATATATAAATATAATAACATATATAAACTCTCCTCTTTTATAACTTTTATAATCTTATTTATTTATTTTATTTTGTTATTTATAATCTTGATTTGTTTACTACTGGACCTATACTATTGACGTTATCTCAGCCTATCTTAAAGATTTTTATTTCACACCTATGAGCTGTATAGAAAACTTATGTTTTATATTCGTGTTTTTGCAAATTTCATTTATTTGTATATCTTATTCCTAATGTGAATCTGTATGATCTTACTTTATATCTTTTTGTAACATTTTCATTCAAATTTATTGTTTCTCCTATGTACACTAAAGGTTATCCCGTAAATAAAGACTTATTATTATTATATTTACCATGTGCTTGGAGAGGATGTCGGAATCATAGATGAACTTATTGGGACAGGAACCCTCTCTGGTGATGACCACAAGACCATGCTCGCCGACAATCGCGTCAATCTGCAACACAAGTAAACCAACATTTCTCTCGCTATTTTACAGCTCTATGATATTTACAAGGTACAAGATTCTAAATCAAAACTGTAAACACGAACGGAAGACGCAAGAATTAGCAAGTTTGTTAGAAGGAACCGATATCCATCACACAATAAAAGATGTGCTGTTAAAAAATATTCCTATCCAAAGCAATCGCGGTGTAATTGCCGTGGCGCGTAACTCACGTCTTCCTCCAGCCAAAGTCCGCAAATGCCGAAGCTCTCGAGTAGGTCCGCGCCGCACAGCAATTTAATCTGTATCGGCGTATTGTCCGCGCTGTTTTTCACATTCTCCGGTATCCATTCGGTGTCCTCTGTCTGCAGGTGGTGCTTGATGTCATTGGAATTTGACAGCATGGAGTTGAGCAGATTTTGATGGTGCTGCAAGGAGACGCGAGTCTTGGTCCAGCAATTCTGCCTGGTCTCCCACGTGCTCAGCCGAATCCAGTCGCTATTCTGCAACGCCAGACGCAGCATCGCGCATCTGTGGGTAGCGCTGGCCAACTCCTTCTTGGCGTACGCGTCGTGCACCGGGGACATCACTCCACCGACGACAACGTGCGTCCCCATTCGATGCAGATGGTCTCGAGCAATCTCTGCAACGTGCAATTACTCGTAAGAATCACAAGTGCTCGTCGCAATTACAAAATTCACTCAATTATATTCGGCTGTTTGCGATTAATCGATTTCCACGGTAAAGCATTGAACAGGGAGGCGCGAGAAGAGTCGAGAGACAACATAATACGAAAAGGCAAATTAAGCGGGACCGTGTCCCTCGTGTGATGCAAATGTGATAAACAAGCCGCACGCATGGCAGCGACGTGACATCACGCGTGATAAAGCGACGTGACGCGGCGACATTTCGCCGCTCCGTAGCAGCGGCACTGCTCGGGGGCGAGGACAACGGACAGATCGATATGATACGTACCGAACATCCGCAGGTGCATATTCGTTGGCGGGTTATAGCTGCCGCACGACATCAGAATTACACGCGTAGGCGCCATTTTGCGCGCTCGCCACTCGTCGCCGCATCGGCGGCCGACCGCACCTCCGTCGCCGTCAAATCGACCCGACGCGCTGCCGCTGGGCAACAACAACGACGACGCCGACGCGCGCGTCGCCAAGTTGCGTAACCTACTGACCGCGTTTAGGAACGAATCGCGCGCCGATCGCCGCCATGTTATCTCGAGCATCGCCGGCCAATAGGGGGTGCTCTCGGCCCTCACCGGCGCGCCACCTGGCCAAGTTACGCCGAATCCATACCATGCACGGCCAGAGAGAAGTCTGAGAGCTGTCACGGCCTGGTTTTACGTGACCCTCGAACCCGATGCGCCATCTGTGTACATTGAAAACATGGACATGAACTACGTAGTCAATGTCCACGGTTGGACTAAGTGAATAACGCAGGTGTATGTACACGTTACGGTTGTATTCCGTGCTGTGTGCATGAAATGTCGATAAAAATAGAATTATTGATTTTTCGTTAACAAGCGAACAGTACGGGAATTCTGTAACTTGCAATCGATGCCTTTCGGTATCGTTAAAAATGGATAGGCTACGAGAGATTAGACCGAATACATCGATAAATTTCGTCATATTTCGCGTACTTTCTATGATGTAGATCAACGGTTTTCAACATGCACAATGAGCTCAACATACTCTGATTTGTAGAGCTCTATTTAATTAAAACGCGAAATTATATTTGCAATCGGATGCATACTATAATAAAATGGAAGTTGTTATACGTTTGTTAAGTTTTTACTTTACATTTACCTCAAATTTTTGTGGATTTGTTTTACTTTTAAGAGATCGTTAATAAATATTATACATTCGGGATATTTTTATGATGAATTTATGAACATGTAATATGTATATATGTATTTTACATTACAAGAATTTCGTGTTATTGTATGCATACTGAATATTTCATATGTAATATCGAAAGAAATATTGTCTTGTACAAATATTATACTTTTAATTTTATAATGTAATTATTTCTTTTTAATATTGTATGCATTGTACAGTAAATTATAAGAAAAATGAAATAGATAATAAAATTGTAAGAAAATCACATTGTAAAGAAAAGAGGACCGCTGAACCAAATTGGCGGGGGTGGTGGAGGGCCTCTACAAGTTGGTCTGTTTGTATCGGATAAAAATTCAATTCAAATCTAAAAGAAAGGCATCATTTCATTTATAAATAGAAAATACAAAGTTATAATAAAATATATAGATTACCAGGTTTATCGAGAACAATCTACTTCAAATTTTGTTGCCAAAAAGTATATCATTACTTATGTTACGTTTAAAAAATTTTAAGTTTATAAATTACGATTCATTTATTTCACTGGAAAAGTTTAACATATTATAAGGTTTTACAACTACGTACATTATAAGAAATAAAATTATCTAAAAAGTTTATCATTTTTTCGACATCATATTTATTCTATTTATACTATTTCAAATGTCGCGCTTCAGTAGGCCACGCCAATATGGTGCTTACTGTCCCACCCCTTACGTCTTCTTAAACAGACTGAGGGGAAATTGCTCCCTCCAGTTATTCTTTCCTCCATGGTTTTCTGTTCCTGCACTGGTGAACTAGTGCAGTAAGCTAGAATAATTTCAAAAAAATACCTTTTGAAAAAGGTAACAAAGACGCCAAGTATAAGCGTGCGATCCGAATAAGAACTGTACAATTTAATTAATAAGAAAAAATATACTTGTCTTACTCCAATTTCTTGCTAGTTCACCAGTGTAGCAACAGGAAATAAGTCTAGTAATTGTTAAAGTTGACCATTTTTAAGTTTAAGAACCCTGTCATAACGACGAAATGCAAAGTACTTTCTGCTTTACAAACTGCAGTGTGAAATAGCACGATAGAACGTATACAGGGTGAATCTTTCCATATCCGACAAAATTTTTAAGAAGATAGAACGGATCGAGATGAATGGAAAAGTCCTGTACCATTTTGCAATTTTCGTAATAGTTAACGAGTAATTAATTATTAAAAATCGTTGTCTTAGGCCGGCCTACCGCCCAATTCTAACGCGTGGCGCGCGAGATGTGCGCATAGCAATATCGATCGCCGGGCGGTCACATCTTGCCACGCGCTTGAATTGGGCGGTAGGCCGGCCTAAGACAATGATTTTTAATAATTAATTACTCGTTAA